AAAAAATAACCAAGATACATCATGGTACATGCACCCAATGATAAATGTAAATGTATTGTATACCTAAAATGCACCAAGAAAAGAATTTAAGCAAAAAAAAAAAAAAAAAGAATGAACCTGGGTTTGCTAATCCACTTTCCCAACCAGCCCAAAGCACAGGGTCTATAGGGCTGCAACTCCATACCTAGCTGCAAGTAGAACAGAGACAGCTAAGAGGGTATACTGCCCTTTCAGAGTAGTGGTGATGGACCCTGCCCAGGTATGCTGCTTGTCACATGGAGAGGACATGGCTAGGAGCAAAGACAGAAAGCAGGCAAAAGGACAAGAGACTCCACAGATAAAGCCAAGAAGCTGCTCGTAAACAGAGACCTTGAGAAGAGAGATTTAATGCCATTAGTAAGCAGGGCCCAAACAATAAAAATCTACCAGCAATCCCATTAGCTATTTTCTTCCTCTTCTTTCTCCTTTTTCCTTTTATTCCTCTTTTCCCGTCCTTTGAGAAGGAGCATGGAGATAGGAGGAAAAGGACTAGAATACAAAACAGCAACATTTCCTCCCATTAAAGGTTCCCTGGGGAAATGGCTGATGCCAGATGAGCGGCAGGAAATATTCATGATGAGTCTGTTATATCCTGCACCAGAAAGCAAAGGCACTATCAGAACAAATGAATCCTTTCAAAAGTAGTCAACATGAAAGGCTGCCTGTGCCTAAAGATGAAAGCATTTTGAACATCCGGAAGACTATTGATGCAATTGGTTAAAAATAAAAGTATGTAAAAACCCATAGGTTCATATTGATGCTTATATGACAAAGCTTCTCTTCCTCCCCAAAGAAATTCTTAGTGGCCCACCATTAGAAGTACATAGTGCAGGGGCCAGGGATGTAGCTCAGAGGTGCCACGCCTGCCTCACAAGCGCAAGGTCCTGAGTTCGATTCCTGGGTACCAAAAAAAAGTTTATAGTGCAATAATTCTCTTTTCTGAAGCTGAAAAGAATTAACATTTATTCTGCCTTTCTTATATTAATTACATTTTAAAGTAATCAAGGAGTGCTAATTAAAAACAATTCCCCTTTACAAAATAATTCTAGTTAATAAATGTAGACGGAAGGGGAAGGGGAAGTGGGAGGGGTAGGGGAAAGGAAAGAACAGAATGGAATTAATAGGAGAAAATGAAAAACTGGAAACAAAGTCTTTGTAAATAGGGAGGGATGAAGGGGTTGAAGGGA